ATAGTGGTGAATATGTTCTTTTGCATTAGTGTTTTGTGTTTCTTCACATATATACCCAGAAATAGAATCAATGGGTCATAAGGCAGTTTCATTTTCAATTTTTTTGAGGACCATATGAACTGTTTTCCATAGAGGTTGGACTAATCTACATTCACAAAGTACATTCACACCAACAGTTCATGAGAGTTCCCCTTTCTTCACATTCTCACCAACACTTGCTTTTTATTGATTTATTAATGACTGTAGAACCATTGAACAAAATTCATACATGGGTAGGGACTCAGTGGCTACCGGCTGCCGGCCAGAGCCTTCTTTGTTCCACATTATACCCTGTGATCAGGGCATGTCATAGCAAGCAATGGAACTCCCTGTTGGTGAAACACCCAAGAGAACACTTGGCATAGTAGCCTTTTATTTATATATATAGACTAGGGGCCCAGTGCATGAAATTCGTACACTGTAAAGGGGTCGCTCAACCCAGCCTGCCCTTTCTCACATACTGGGAGCCCTCTGTGGATGTCCTACTGATTGCTTAAGCCTGCTCCCCATTGGGAGCAGACCTAAGCCACAGTCTCGCCTCCTTTTACTTGAGGCAACTGGGCTAATCAAGGGAAGGCTCCAGCCCATCATCCTGCTGCTACAGCCACTGCCAGTCACCACAGCCACCAAGGTATTTTTCTAATACAAGTTACATTCTTTAGTCCCTTCACCATGAAAAAATGGCAACTTTCTTTAAACATTTTAAAAATGTGTCTTTCATAGGATATGACATTTCTTTATTTTTCTTTTTATTCTCACCTGAGGATATGTTTCCATTGATATTTTCCTCTTCCCTCCAATCCCAAACTCAGCCTCTTCCCACCAAAAGCCTCCGCCCCAGGCTTTAGTCTTGGGAAGGGGTTCCTCACCCCCCACACCTCCGATCACAGGCTCAATGTATGTGTGCAAATTAACAACCATCTTTGTTGGGTTAATTTGCATACTCACTCTGATTGGCTTTGGGTGTAACAAAGGTATGGTCACTTTACATGTTTCTCTATTATTAGGTAATACTAGAGCCCTGGTGCACAAAATTTGTGCACAAGTGGGGGTCCTCTGCACCTTCTTGCAATGGCGGACCCCTAAGAGAATATCCTACTAGCAATCAAAATCCCTCTCACAATCTGGGACCAGTGGCTTCTAACCTTTCACCTGCCTGCCTGCCTGTTCACCCCTAACCACTTTGCCTGCCTGCTTCAGATGCCAGCACTAGCCACACTCTGTGCCAGGCCCGATCGCTTGGCACCATCCGCAGGTGCAAGCGGTAGCTGCCAGCCCCAATTGCCCCTCATGACTTCTCTACCTCCCCCTGCTCCTGAGGTGAGATCAGGGCCAGTAGCCTCCTTTTACAGCCACTGCCGGCAACAGCCCCACTCACACCTGCTGCTGGCACTGGCCCAAATTGCTGCACACTTTCAGTGGGTGAGAGTGGGGCTGCTGGCAGACAGGGGGCCAGGGCTGCAGGAGGAGGGGCTGGGCCAGGATACGGAGAATAGGCTGAGACCCACTCCTGTGCCTACTGCAGACTCACAGCCCACTTTTCCCTTCAAGGTGCACAAATTTGTGCACTGGGCCCCTAGTGAAAAATAAAAATAGAATGAAGAAAATATAATTTGAAAAAATTAAATAAAAACAAAAAATAAATAAATGTTTAATAAAAGATAAAAAAATAAAATTTAAAAGTGAAAAGTCATTAATTTCAGCCAAGTTTTAAGGCCCATGAGGGCTGTTTTAAGAGCATATTCTTCTGTTGTATCTGCTACTTCTCAGTTTCCTGTTATGTAGTCAGTACCATGCTGGTGTTCCAAGAGATCCACCACTACTCTCTGTGTATCTCCATAGTCTTAACTGCAAGCAGGCAGGACCAATCTGCCCCTTTAGCCTGTCTTTCTCCTGTCAATCTTAATCTTTCAATCACTTGTTTCTGACAGGGCTACAGGTAGGGAGGTTGCTGCATTGCTCTCTGGGATTGAACAGCCTCCCTTGAACCCAGTCCCTGTGCGCTCTTCAGAGATATTAAAATTTCTTGTGTCCTTTGTACTACTCAGGATGTAGTTTTGTAGACTCTATTAGCTTTTTTTGAGACTGCTGAGAGGAACTGGCTTTTCAGGAGAAAAATGGCTGCTTAGGTCCATAGAGTGAGGAATGTCCCAGGGCCAGACTCCCGGTCATCTCCCTGATCCACTCTCCTCCATAATCTCTCCTCAGACTCCACAACTCCATACCTTCACCTGCACCGCAGTCATTGGTGAGTGTTTGTATTTGAAAGGTCCTATGAATTTGGTTTAGTGAATAAATGCAAAGACTAAACAGAGGCAAACCAACCACACATCTGCTAGTTTTTCTTCCCCCAGCAATGCATGACTTGGGCAGTTCTTCAGGATGCCCCTCTGGACTCAGCCTCTCGTGGCTGTGGACTTAGATCTAGAATTCACTTCCTCCAGCAGCTCTGTGGACTTCCTTTCCACAGATGGATGTTATGCTGTCACTAAGGGATGTGGACTTGGTGCCATGCAGCTTCCTTCTGACTCCCTTAGCTCCATGGTATCATGGCTTTCTCCAGCCCAAATGCCCAATCCTTCTGTTCTCCAGGCATCCTCTGCCTTTCCAGGCTGTGAGTTGTCTCATCAGCTTTCACCAATTCCAAGTGGATGTTTAAATAAAAAACATTTGATTTAAATGTTTCTTCTATCTGCTCTGGAATAAGGCTCTGGACACTGCCTATTCTGTTTCCATTTTTTTTTTCTTCTGAAGTATACTTTTTCCATTGATCTTCTGTAGAGAGTGGAAGGGAGGGAGAGAGGTAGATAGATGATAGATAGAGAGGTAGAGGGAGAAGGAGAGGGAGAGGGAAAGGGAGAGGGAGAGGGAAAAGAAGAGGGAGAGGGAAAGGGAGAGTGAAAGGGAGAGGGAGAGGGAGAGGGAGAGGAAGAGGAAGAAGAAGAAGAAGAAGAAGAAGAAGAAGAAGAAGAAGAAGAAGAAGAAGAAGAAAGAAAGAAAGAAAAAGAAAAAGAAAGAAAAGAAGAAAAAGAAAGAAGAAAGAAGAAAGAAAGAAGAAGAAAGAAGAAAGAAAGAAGAGAAAGAAGAGAAAGAAGGAGGAAGGAAGGGAGGGAGGAGGGGAGGGAGGGAGGGAGGGAGAGGAGGAAGGAAGGAAGGAAGGAAGGAGGAAGGAAGGAAGGAAGGAAGGAAAGAAGGAAATAAGACAAACAATAAACGGAAGAGAAAAACATGGATTGGTTGCTTCACTCACATCCCTCCACTGGAGCCAGGGATTAAACCTGGAACACACATATGTGCCCTTAAACATGAATCACACTCACTAACCTTTGCTGTGTGGGCCAATGGCAGAGTTCTATGCCATTTTTATATTTGCTATTTCTTTGTTGAAGTTCTCACTAATTCCTTGAGCACCTTTATAACCATTGTTTTGAACTCTGTATCTGGTGCCTGGCTTGCCTCCATTTCATTTTTTTTCCTGATTATTTCTCCTGTTCTTTTGTTTGGGGCATGTTTCTTTGTTTTCTGGCTTTGACTTCCCCTCTGTATTTGAGTCTGTGTATTAGGTAAATCTTTGTCTCCCAGTCTTGGTATGGTGAACTTATGTATTACAGTGGTGCCTCACACAACGAACTTAATTCGTTCCAGGAGCAAGTTTGTTATGCGAAAAGTTCGTTATGTGAAACGCGTTTTCCCATAACAATACATGTTAAAAAAAATAATTCGTTCTGTAGCATAAAATATGCTAAGATGACATAAAAAAAGATAAATTTTTTGTTATTATTTTTATTTAGATACATCTAAAAACATAATTTAAAAAAAAAACAACACACATTTTTTTAATTTTAAGACAGACTAAGTAGAGTCTACCGAATCTTGCACATCTTCATCCATTTTCTGCTTTTTGGCCGATGGTTTCATGAAAAACCTGTCCAAAGTCGTTTGTTTTTCTCTTTTCTCCAACATCTGCCGGAAATAACAGACAAGAGTATCGGAGTAAAGATCGTTGATCCTGTTTGCTTCAGCTGAATCCGGATAGTGGGCATTGGTAAACTCCTGAACTGCTTTCCATTTGACCAGGATGTTCTTGATGTCAGCAGTTGGGATTGGTTGATTGTTTGATTGTTGCTCCTCATTATCAGATGACGCTTCCCTTTGAGCATTGTCCTGTTGCTGGACCAGAAGTGCTTGGAGCTCTTCAGTTGTCAGCTCTTCTTCGTGTTCCTCAATAAGCTCCTCTACATCCTCTTCCTCTACCTCTAATTCCAACCTTTGGGCCACTGTGATGATGTCCTTCACCACTTCTGTGTCATCAACTACTGCTTCTTCCTGGGTCCACGAAGGCACAAGCATCTTCCAAGCAGAAATGAGGGTCCTTTGTGACACTTCTTCCCAGGCCTTCTGTATAAGTCGTATTGCCATAAGGACATCAGATTTCTCCTTCCAAAACTTTCGGACAGTCATATTGTCTCCACCAAACTCGCATTCTTCAAACACCTTATTAAAGAGGGCTCTAGTGTAGAGTTTTTTAAAGTTCGCAATAACTTGCTGATCCATTGGCTGAAAAATGGATGTGGTGTTTGGTGGCAAATACTGCACCTTGATAAAAGGATAATTTTCCTGCAATATTTCCTCTAGGTCTTTTGGGTGAGAAGGGGCATTGTCAAGTATCAGAAGAGCTTTGAGCGGCAGTTCTTTTTCCAGCAAGAATTTCTTCACGGCAGGAGCAAAGGTTTCCAGAATCCATTCGTTGAAGATAACTTGGGTCACCCAGGCTTTTTGATTGGACTTCCAATGGACGGGCAGTTTGGACTTAATAACGTTATTTTTCTTGAAAATTCTTGGATTTTTAGAGTGATAAACCAATAGAGGTTTGATCTTGAGGTCTCCGCTGGCATTAGATGAAAACATAAGGGTAAGTCTGTCCTTCATGGCTTTGTGTCCTGGCAATTTCTTCTCCTCTTTTGTAATGAAGGTTCTGCTCAGCATTCTTTTCCAGAAAAGACCCGTTTCATCGGCATTGAACACTTGTTGTGGGCAGTATCCTTCATCCTTAATACATTTTTGAAAGTTAATAGAGAACTTTTCTGCTTCTTTCTTGTCAGCACTGCCAGCCTCACCATGCATAGTAACGCTGTGGATTCCACACCTTTTCTTAAATCTAAAAAACCACCCCCTGCTGGCTTTGAATTCTTCTTCATTATCTTGATTGCTGCTACTTCCAGGGACGTTTTTCTTTAGATCATCATAAATTCTCTTGGCTTTGTGACAGATAATATCTTGGGTTGTTACGTCACCTTTCACCTGCCTGTCCTTAATCCAAATCGCTAATAGCCTCTCCATTTCCTCTTGGATTGAAGACCTATGTTTTTCATGAAATAGTTTTGATACTCCTTTGGCTAATTTGGCTGATTTGATTGCATCCTTATTTGTCAAAATGGTGAAAATGGTGGTCTTGCTGAGGCCAAACTCTTTGACGAGGTCACACTGTTTTACCCCACATTCACTCCTTCTAATTATTTCCTGTTTCATTTCAACAGAAATCACCGTCCTGCTTTTTTTAGAAGCCATGATATAAAAAAAAATATTGAGTTTAACTTAAAAGGACGACTGCCGTGATACGAGCATGATTTAATTCGTAATGAAGAACGATTGCCTCGATACGTGCTTAAGTTAAACGCAGTGACTAACGACTGCCTGCAGTGCCTGCGCGGAAGGATGCAATACATCGGCAGCGATCGTGGAAGCTCGGGCAAAGCGGTCGTGGAAGCTCGGGCGACTTCGTTGTGTGAAACGAAGTTCGTTGTATGAATCATGAAATGAAGTTCGTTGTGTGCAGCGTTCGCTGTGCGAGGCGTTCTTTATGCGAGGCACCACTGTAGATGTGTTCTGGGATTTAGTGGCAGAGTCTTCCTGAACACCTGAGATAGATCTTCCCTATGTAGAATATGTGAGCCTGCCTTGTAGTGGAGGCTTGCTTGGGTGTGGTAGATCCTCAGGCTCGTTGGGGATCAACAACAATCACAGTGTATGAGCTATTGTGATGGAGCTAACTTTGGAAAGCAGAATTTGCTCCAGTAATATCTGCTGTCTCCCAAGTTCTCCTTTTAGGTGTGTTAATTGTGGAGCTAATTGGGTCATGCTCTTATGTGGTCTGACCCATAGGTGTGCTGCTTCTGGAGTCTATTGGAAGGCAATCTGATGTAGGACCTGCCTGTGACTAACCCTAAGCTACCTGTTTGTAGCTGCAAAGGGATTCACAGTCTGTGGCTGCTCTTTTGGGCCTGGATGTGTGTGAAAGGGGCCAAGCTGTACACCAAGGCTAGCTTCTACCAGCAGTAAGTACAGAGGCAGATCAACAAAAGGCAAAAGGTTGTTTTGTATCAGGGGTAATGAATCTGCCAAGGACCATGTGCATATTTATAACATCAATCATGGGCCATTCAAAATTATCAACTTATAAATTAGTCTGCTATTTTTTGGTGAAATATCTAATTAACTCACCCCTAATGCCATGGAAGGATTAGACCAAATGATTCCATGGGCCTTACATGGCCCATGGGCAGACATTCCTCAGCCATGTTTTAATGATAAAGTGGGCCTGTCTCTTACAAGAGCAACTTGGAGCAGCTCCTTCCCTAACTTCCTCTTCCCTCCTTTCCCTCAATGTCCTTGCTTAACTTTGCCTTCAAAGTTAGAAAAGGGAGGAAGACATAGGTTTTCCAGGTAAAGGAATAAGGGTGTTTGTGTGTGTGTTGTGGGGAAAGGGAGGAAAATGTTGGATTTGTGGCAGAAGGAACCTTTCCCTGGATTTATATCATAAACCTCCCAGCAAACTTGCGCTCAGCATATGCTTCCCATTGCTTTCTGTTTTCTGCCTCTGCTAATTTTAGGCTGTAATTCTTATAAAGGCTTAGCCCTTCAAATTAGTTCCTCTTTCAGAGACTTCTGTTTGCTGGGGCTGGGCAGCAGACCCTGAGCGATGGAAGAATGATGACTCAGATACACATTTCTGTGAAAGAGAGGGCTAAGACCTGTCAGAATGGCCAATATCAACAAATCAACAAACGACAAGTGTTGGTGAGGTTGTGGAGAAAAAGGAACCCTTGTTTACTGCTGGTGGGAATGCAGACTGGTGCAAGCACTGAGGAGAACAGTGTGGAGTTTCCTCAAAAAACTGAAAATGGAACTCCCATTTGACCCAGTAATCCCACTCCTAGGAATATATCCCAAGAAACTAGAAACACCAATCAGAAAGGATATATGCACCCCTATGTTCATAGCAGCACAATCTACAATAGCTAGAATTTGGAACAGCCTAGGTGCCCATCAGCAGATGATTGGATCAAAGAACCATGGTACATCTACACAATGGAATGCTATGCTGCCATAAAATAGAAGGAATTATCATCATTTGGCAGCAACCTGGATGGAATTGGAGAACATCATGCTGAGTGAAATAAGCCAGTCAATGAAAGAGAAACACCACATGACCTCACTCATTTATGGATAATAAAGAACATTATAAACTGATGAACCAAAAGATAGATATAGAGACAGTAAAGCAACAAGCAGACTGTCAAATTACAGCTGGGAGGGTAGGGAGATCTGGGGGAGATAATAGATCAACTGAAGGACTTGTATACATGTATATAAGTACAACCAATGGACACAAAACTCTGGGGAGGGAGGGGTATGTATGGGAGGGGGGTGCAATGTTAAAATATGTACACAGATAATAATTTAATAAAAAATAATGTAAAAAAAAAGAAAGAAAGAAGGAAAGAAAGAAAGAGAGAAAGAAAGAAAGAAAGAAAGAAAGAAAGAAAGAAAGAAAGAAAGAAAGAAAGAAAGAGGGCTAAAAACTGTAGAGAGAAGCCTGAGAAGGCACATGGACATTCTTTTCATTCTTATCAGCTGAGCCCAAGGGCACTGGCAGAATCCTGTTATCAGTACTGATTTCTTATCTTTATCCATGTGCTTCGAATGAGGAATAAATAGGACCTTGACTTACCCAGATCTTGATATACTAAATCTTGTACCAAAAAATGAGTAGCTTACCAAGATCTTGATGAATAGGATCTGGGCACACCTGAAACTCCTTTTGACCTTAAAATCTCCTTTGGAAACCAATAAATATGTTATCTGTGGTGAGAGTGACTGTTTTTCCATCAGAGAGATGGCACCCACCTAGCGCCCAGCTTTATGAATCTATTTCTGCCTCTTGTCTCTTTCTCTAATTTCTTCATCCCCAGCTCCTCCACTCAGAAACCTGTTGTTTTTCCGTGCAGGATGGGGAAAACAGAAAAGATGCCCACCACAAAGGACTGCTTGACTATAGGGACCAAACAGCCCCTTTCACCTGCCTCCTTAGATTTTTATTGTAACAACAACTTGAGCTAAAATTAACTCTTAGATACTATCAGTAAGATAAGCATACTTGAAAAGACACATGCCTCTGCAGTGTCCTTTAAGCAAGGACATCTGAAGACTAAGCATAAAGATTCCAATAAACATCCAGCGCTAAGACTTTTCAACTAAGTCCCACACTTCCTCATAGCTGGTCAGAGAATATTTGTACAAGTACCAGCAATTCCTTTCACCACCTATAGGATTTCTAAATTAATTTGAAGCTTTCAGGGATAGAGTAGCATGAGCAGACAGAATTAGCTCTGAGGGCAGCTGGTGGGTGAAGAGTATTAGGAAGTATAATAAACATAGCTCGGTGTATCCCTCCTTTGAATCCCATCACCAACATAGACTTTGTGACAGAAGCTGATATGTATAAATTCTGTGAATTCTCTTCCCAGTTTACAGGAAGTTGTTTTCCATTCCCTATTCTTTTTTAAAATATATTTTATTGATTTTTTACAAATAGGAAGAGAGAGGGATAGAGAGCTAGAAACACTGATGAAAGAGAATCATCGATCAGCTGCCTCTTGCACACCCCCTACTGGGGATGTGCCCACAACCAAGTTACATGCCCTTGACCAGAATCAAACCTGAGACCTTTCAGTCTGCAGGCCAAGTCTCTATCCACTGAGCCAAACTAATTTCGTCTATTCCTTATTCTTAAGAGAAAAGACATAACTCTTTTTTAGAAAGGAGTTTGCCTTTCTCATAGTATTTCAAGTATATTTTATTTCTTATATATTTTATGGCTTGTGATGAGATGAACCTGTCCTTAACAATTAACATTTTCAGCCTGTTGCAGGCATACTCTGCTCCAATGTGAGTTTCTCAAACAGATTTCCCCGTTGCTAAATGTTTTTAGGTAGCAAGGATAAAAGGTATTTAAAATGTAATAACATATTTGTATGACTCTAAACATTGATAAATAAGGAGAGTATAATATTTTTCAGAGATGTATGCTGGACATAAAGATCTGAAAGGAAGTAAGAATCAGAAATATTTTTGATGAATTTATTTGTTTAACAAATAGTTATTGAGAACCCCTCTGTGTACAGTATTGTGTTTGTTCCAGGTAATAAGAGAAATGTAAGACACAGTTGGTCCTATCATCATCACAAAGCTCAGAACCTAAAGAGGCATAGAAAAAAAAAAGAAAAAAAAGCAAACGGCTTCTTTTATAGTACATGTTCTGTAGGAACCCTTGGGAATGCGATTAGAGCAAATGGCAAGTTGTTTTTGGTGATGGTGTTGGGGGAAGAATCATTGAAGGGAATAAAAAATAAAATTTAGTTTTAAAGTAGGACTTGATTATAGAAGAGAAAAAGAATTGGAGATGAAATTATTGGTTAGGAGTTTTAATCATGGCAAACAAATAAAAGTGGCTTGGCTTATCATGAAGTGGGGAAAATGGATCATTTTGTATGTTTTGGAGGTAGAATCCATAGGAGTTGATGGTAGACTGATTAGCAAGTGAGGAAAGAGGAGATGCAGATAACTCAAAGATTCTGTAGCAGCCACTGGCTGGATGGCATCTACCTAAATGGGAGTAGAATCATTTACATAGTCTGGAGTTTGGGGTTGGGAGATGGTCAAAGGCTCTATTTTTGTAAAGTTCTGTTTGAGATGTCCATGAATTTGCCCAATGGAGAAGTTGAATGGGATATAAAATTTCAAAATTCTGAGTAGGGTCTGGGCTATGAGGACATACAGATGGTATTCAAAGCAATAATTTACTGAATGGATGGGGCAGGGCACCCAGAACCAGAGCTGAGAAAGCACATAAAATATGTTTGTGTAGAGAAGAAGCAACAAGTGAAAATGAAACTGACAATGGGGAGGTGAGAAGTGTTGGGAAATAGGGAAAGTTAAGTGAAGTAGCAAGTTTATGGAAAATAAAATTTAAAAAAACTGTTGGCTGCATGAGGTTATGGTTTTCAGTTACTCTCCATTTCCCTAAAATGAATTCTGTTTCTTATCTACAGAAATTTAAACTACAATGGCAGCTCAATTGGACATTACTCCTTCTAACTTCAGTGAACCCAGGACTGGCCATGGTGAGAGGGTGCTTGGGTTCCCTAGGCCAGATGGGATGGAGGGAACCTGGCAGTGAGATCTCCTGTCTTCTTTGCTAGTCCCCATCTGAGCAAAAACAAACAAAATATTTCCAACCTTATTTTATAATTTCTCTTAATTGACTCAGCTCTTGCTTTCTCACAGTCTTCTGCACTGTCTCCTCATGAACTGGATAAACTCTAGAGCAGTGGTTCTCAACCTTTCTAATGCCGCAGCTCTTTGATACAGTTCATCATGTTATGGTGACCCCAAACCATAAAATTATTATGGTGACCCCAAACCATAACCTTTGGGTTGAGACTCCTTTAACAGGGGTCACCTAAGACCATCGAAAAACACAGATATTTACATTATGATTCATAACAGTAGTAAAATTACAGTTATGAAGTAGCAACAAAAATAGTTTTATTGTAAGGGGTCACCACAACATGATGAATTGTACTAAAGGGCCATAGCATTAGGAAGGCTGAGAACACTGCTCTAAAGGAAGAGAGGTTAAAGTATCCTGATTGATCCCAGGCTGATGAGGTTTCTTATTCCCTAAATCCTATGATATGGACACATCAGAAGGGCCAGAGGTAGCCTCTCTAGCTGTTTTTCTATCACTCTCTTCACCCTGAGAGAGGACTGGGAAAGAGGAACATGAGAGGTATTTATTTATTCAGGTCTCTTAATTCTTGTGGGGAGCTGCCCTGAATGCAGGGATCCTATATGCCTGAATGCAGGCATGGGTGTAGGAAACAGCTCTACATTTGACCCCCTTTCCATTAACCTAAGTGGAAAATTATTACTACGCCTAGGAATGCTGCTAACTGCAGATGTCTTTGCTTTAGGGTAAAACAATTGATAGGAGCCTGCTGACGCAGAAGGAGCTGCAAGTTAAGAGGAAGATAGGTAGTTGTAAAAGGTCAGGTGGTTGTAAAAGGTCAGGTGCTGAAGGAACTTATCTGTACAGGAACTCATTATGTTAGCATTATTGCCTGAAATAAATATTTTCTCCTTCAGAATTGTATTTAAAGGTTGGAAAAATAAAATTCGTGGCAGCAGACCTCGGGTCTGAGCCCTCCCGACTCCATCTGTTCTTGTCTGTCTTTTTCTTATCCTCACCCCCTCATTCAGGTACTGTTCGTTGCCAGCAGGTTCCGGCAAATTCCCAGGCTTCTGGAGGCCTTGCTACCAACAAATTCAATAGACTGGCTAACTCAGTTGCTCACACATCCTCTTTTTACTCCCTTATCTACAGAAATCAACAATATCAGTAGAACTTTTGTTGATTTGGCACCACACTACACCACACCACAATTTAGTTCCCTAATACCTCAACTATTTCTTTGGCAATCAATTTGGTTTAGAGCTGGGCAGTCCTTGGATTTACAAAACTGGGCTCATCTCAGCCAGACATGCTTATGCACCAGAGTAAGCTGGTGATTAAGTACACAACTGGATAATCATTCTAGCTAATAAAAGAGTAATATGCAAATTGCCTGTCACTCCAACACTCAAGATGTCTGCCCCTATGTGGTCAAAGATAGCTGCGCCCCTGTGGGCACAAGATGCCTAACACAAGATAGCCTCCAGGGAAGGACAGTTGGGGCCAATCAGGCCAGCAGGGGAGGGCAGTTAGGGGTGACCAGGCCAACAGAGGATGGCAGTGGGGGGTGACTAGGTCGGCTTAGGAGGGAAGTTGGTATGACCAGGCCAGCAGGGGAAGGCAGAGGGGAGGGACCAGGCATGCAGGGAAGGACTTTTGGGGGAACCCAGTTTTGCAGCAAAGGGTAGTTGGAGATGACTGGGCCAGCAGGGGAGGACAGTTGGGGGCATTCAGGCCAGCAGGGAAGGGCAGTTAGGGATGACCAAGCCAGGAGAGGAGGGCAGTTTGGGGTGATCAGGCCTGCAGAGCAGGGCAGTTGAGGATGATCAGGCCAGCAGAGGAGAGCAGTGGGGTAAGCAGGTCAGCAGAGGATGGTGGTTGGCAGATACCAGGCCAGCAAGGGATGACAGTAGTAGGGGAGCAGGCCTATAGATAAGGACAGTTGGGAGGACCAGGCCTGCATGGGAGGGCAGTTGTGGGATATCAGGCCTTCTGAGGAGGGCAGCTGGGGGAGACCAGGCCAGCAAGGGAGGGCAGTTGGGGGTGATCAGACTGGCAAGGAGTCCCAAAGAGGTTGCAGGCTGGACTGAGGCACAAACACCCCCTTGGATAAATTTTGTGCACTGGGCTTCTAATTCTTTAGATAAAATTTATTGATGTAACATTGGTTAATAACTTTATATAAGTTTCAGGTATAAAATTTTATAATATGTCATTTGTGTATTACTTTCTCTACTCACCACCCAAAATTTTGTCTCCTTCCATTACCATATATTTTACTTACTCTCTTTACCTCTTTAACATCTTCCCTCCCCTCATTCCTTCTGGAAACCACCATATTGTTGCTTGCAACTATGAGTTTCTTTGTTCCCTTATTGTTTTCTATATTATATTCTATATGTGAGTGAAATAATTTAGTTCTTGTACTTTGTTCATCTGACTTATTTTGCTTAGCATAATACTTTCAAGATCCAGCAACTGGGAACTTTTGAAATGGATAGCTCCATGGCCATATCTGGTAGTTAGAAGACTCTTGGGCAGGCTAGGATGATAGGGATAACCAGTCTTTTTGTCCTTCATCATCAATCAGTTGCAGGGTTCTGAAGAACAAGAGACAGGGAGCCACAGTGCATCAGCAAGTTTAGAGTCTACTAGCATCATGAGTTTACTGCTCTATTACTTAGAGCAAGTCACAGGGACCACCCAGATGCAAGGGGTGAAGAAACAGACTCAGAGCCTTGTGGTAGGCCCTGGAGATCAACATGATAAAGAGGCAGCTGTACAGAAATGAGATTATTTCATGATTATATTTCAGTCTATCACACAAACTGCCAGCATTGACAAATGGTTGCAGTGTTGAAAATGGCCTTGGATGACTTTTCATTTTATCTCCCATGATTTTCCTACTTGTCTCTGAATGACCAACTAATGGCCTCCAGATAGCCTTTGGTTGGAGTCTTACACTGTGGTGCTAACTAAATAATACTTTGAACTCCCATCTGCATTTTATCTTCATCTTAACCATCATATAGCTACGGCTCTCAGGTTCTGGAAATATACTTCTATCACCCCAGAATTCTGGTTATCAAAAGCAGGATACTCTGCCTTAGGAATGGTTTTTCTAATCTCTCTTCGTTTGATATATATATATATATATATATATATATATATATATATATATATATATATATTTAAAATCACTCCAATGTACAGAATAGAAAAAGAGGGAATAATGGAAATAAAGACATAGGTTAGGGGGTTGCTGACTCATGGAAGGTGATGGTAGTTTGGGCTAGTGTGATGGTCTTCAAAATGGAGAGAAGTGGTCAGATTTGTGGATGGAGCCAGGAGAACTTGCCAATGGGTTAGGTCTGGAAAATAAGGGGAATAGAGGAATCTAGGGAGATTCCTAGTTTAGTTTGAGAAACTGGGTAAATGGTGATGATATCTCTGAAAAACAAAATGAAGTTTACAATTATGTCAGCAATATTGTCACTTTGGTGATGTATGCATCAACTCAAAGCAGAGACAGGTGGTTGTAAAACAGGATTCCTCCTATAGGAATCAGTCTTATTCAGAGACTATACTGACAGACTCTTCCTGTAGGGAGAAACAGGTTCTCAGATGTGCTTGTCACTTGACCTCTATGGTCCTGGTCTATGCTCAGCAAATCCTGATAACTTCAACTTTATAAACACATGAAAGAGATAAGCAGGTAATTACTGACTAGAAAAATGGAAAGAGATATGAAGATGATTTAACATAGTGATCTCTAAACATCATTCAGGTGATAGGCTATGCTATTCTATTATTAACTTCCAGGTGACCTAAGAAATAGACATGTTTAACCAAGTGAAACTAAAAAAGTATATACCAATACTACTCTGTATGAGTTGTTATTACTATTATTTATGTATCAATGGATTTTAGAGTAACTCCAGAGAACTGTCACTACTTTCTGGTTAAAAGTCTTATAAATATTAATTTAAGATAGGAAACTTCATTAGATTTCCTCATTAAGGGAATAATTTAAAAGTACGGTATTCTATTCTCCTTTGCTTCTGAATCCCTGAGAGATGGCTGCATACGTAAAATATAAAGAAATACTTTGCCTTTCTCCAAATGTGCCATTTTCCCCCCTGCAAGGGTGGGATGGCTTGACTCACCCACCTACCTGGCTTCTTGATGGGAAAAATAAATGTCCCATTTTAGATATAAACTGGGGGAAGGAGACCTTCCATTGTGATGTCCCAAAGTCAGATTTTGTGTTACTTTCTACATTTTACCTTATGAGGAACAGTTACTACCAGCAGCCCAGAATTCTCCAAAGGTCAGAGAGAAAAGCCCAAGAGACTCCTTAGAAGTTATGAGCATTCCCCAAATAATGTCGGTGGTCTTGATCTGGCATTTGGAAGGGTTCTGGAAACCTGGAGAAAGGGTTGTGCATAAATTAATAATGAGTCCAGAGACAAAACATAATTTTGAAAGGCATTTGTGGGAAAAGAGGGGAAGCAGAGGAGCTTGGCTGAAGAAACCAAGTTCTCCTTGTCTTAGAAGAACTTGTTCTATGGCAAGGTGGAGATGTGTACATACATCAAAGGGCAGGGTTTCATTCAGAATCCATTGTCAGAATTGGAGAGTTACCTCCAATTCTGTTCAAGTGTTTAGCCAGGAGTAGGGAATAACATGTAGATTAAGATGCCCTTAGAAGTCTGGCAGTAAACAATCAATTTAATGCATCCTTTTCAGATTTGTGGAAATGCTTTTAGCCATTCCCAACAGGATATAACATATGTGACTCAGCCCTTGTTGAGTCTCCAAGTTCCATCAATCTTTGATAAAACTCTTGCAGTTATGACATACTGGAACTGGCTTCTGGCACCCAAGTCCTGCAATAGGGAGGTGAGGCCCATGGGTTCTACAGACCACCTATGAGTAAAGAGGTGGCTCACTGACAGGACACTAGTGGACAATAGAGAAAAACCAGTGGGTGAGGCACTTGCAGTGGGAAATGTTGGAAGTCAATCTTAATGCTATGGTTTTGTTTCCTGATGTCCTAGGGTTTGGAAACCACAATCACAGAGATTCACAACTGCGACTTGTCTTAGTGGGTAAGACTGGAGCAGGAAAAAGTGCCACCGGGAAGAACATCCTTGGAAAGAAAGCATTTTATTCAGGAATGGTAGCAAAATCCATCACCAAGGTCTGTCAGAAAGACAGCAGCACATGGAATGGGAGAGAAATTGTTGTTGTGGATACACATGGCATTTTCAACACCAAGGTATAGGATGCTGACACACAAAGGGAGATTGCTAATTGCATCCTTTTGAACACCCCTGGGCCTCACGCTGTGATCCTGGTGGTCCCGCTGGGCCGGTACACAAAGGAAGAACAAAGGGATGTGGAGAAGATGCTACCAATGTTTGGACCCAAAGCTAGGAGGTACATTATTCTCTTATTCACCCAGAAAGATGAATTGGAAGGCATGGACATCCATGATTACTTAAAGGAAGCACCAAAAGGCATTCAAGATCTGATGGAGCAGTTCAAGGATCATCACTGTGAGTTTAACAATAAGGCGATGGGCTGAACAGGAGGCTCAGAGGACACAGCTGCTGGACCTGGTCCAGTTCATAGTGATGGGGAACCAGGGGGGATGCTATATTAATAAGATGTACCAAAAATCTGAGGTGGAGATTCAGAAACAAATTCAAATGATACAGGAACAATTTAGAGCAGAGCTGGAGAGAGACAAGAGGCAGTTAATTGCGGAGTATGAAGAGAAAATCAGAAAGCTGGAGGATAAACTGGAGCAAGAAAAGAGAAAGGTAGAAATGGAGATGGAATTGGCAGAAAGGGAGAGTCGCTGTGTTTTAAGGCAGCAAAATGCCAGAGGTGAAGTGGAAAGTCAGAAAAAGATGCTTGACATAATATTGAGAGCATTGGAGTTTACTTCGCTTTTTTTCTCATTTCTGTTCAAGGAAGATTAAGCTTAATGAATATCTGTCTATGTTTCCTGCATATTTTCAAGTGTTCCTTCCCCATATTTTCATTCCTCAAAATCTGTTTCTATCTCTCACACTCTCAGGACTGGGTGACAACGTTTCTTGTTGTCAATTAGTATATATTTCATTTATTCTACAGGGAGAGACACATTCTCAATTTGCAAAATTTCAAAGTAGAAATTGTGGATAACCCCTATCTACTGAGCTCTTTCTCAGAAATAGAGAAGGGGAATGAATGAGACCAAAAGATGGTGACTCCAAGCTTTTTGCTTTTATTGCTAGTAACTATTTCTCCTCTAAATTCTTTCTAGATTGGTGCACAATATCCACCTGTAGCTTCTACTTCATACTTTTACCTTTGGAATGACAATGATCATTTTATCTATGTTGTTAGGTAAATCAAGGATTTACATTAGGTAATAGATAGCTCGAGATGCTTATAGAATTCTATTTAAATGACCATAAATTTATTGAATTACATTCTTATGGAAAGACTGAAATTGTTTCTTATCATCTGCCCACTGAAGAGAAAAGATTTGTCTGGAAAACAGATTTCTCAGAATTCAACTAAGTGAAATGTCAGGAAGAGTGAAAGACAGATTCAACAGCTAAGAAAATAATGTTCAGTACATCCAGATGTTTCTGTAGATAGTCTGAGCAACATGCATGTAACCACTTTACTGAATAACTGGTTCTGTTCTTTTCTTGTGACACCCACTGTTGCCAACACACTGCCATCACTCCACACCTTGATTCCTTACTGCTAGTTGGGTCATCCCCACACAATTTCCCCCACCCTTTCAATTGTTTGTTCATTGTTACTACAATAAAACTTTTCTATTCTCTCGTATTTGCGCAAAAGTGGAATTTTTTATCTTGGAAAATACCCCTAATACTTCTTGTAAAAACACTGAGATGAATTTCACTTTTTGGTAATGCCAAGATGATTTTTGGAGTTTGGCTTGGTCTACGGTCTACCCCTAAGACCTTTCTTGTTTCTCTTGAAAATGTGAACCATGTTCTTAACCCCTCTTCCCAGAAAAGACTACATTCTCCTTAGATTCATTCATTATTTCCTGAAAGAAATTATGTGTAACCGAGGTTTCTGAAAACTATGTGGGCTGTCTGGTAAAATAATAATAATAATAATAATAATAATAATAATAACCTTTAGATTTCAAAATGGCAGCATTAAGTAGAAGATACACTGACATTCTCCCAGGATCAAACTGGAAGTACAACTAGAAAACACAGAAACACCATCCTGAATAATCAACTATTGACTAGCTGGAGACTATGTTGATAACCAAGGATGGAAAGTGGAGAGACTCCATCAAGCCTGATAGAAAGTGTGAAATCATGAGAAGGCTGGCGTGGCTCCCACAGACTGAAACTGAAGATACTTCAGCTGTGAGGTCTCTTTAGCTGAGAACTCTGGAGTCTAAATCCCAAGCTGGGCCCCTCACCCACAGCACCAGAACTTAGAAAGGTGCCCACATAACAACAGGTTGTATAAAGCAGTGGGTTTTCTCTCTGTCAGGGAAAGGCAGCTGGAAATTCAGGTATCCTATTATAGGACCAACATGCAAAATTTTATGTGAAGCCACTCACCTTGGGCTCTGCCAAGGGGAGGGCTGAGTTGACTATAGCCTTGTGAACAGAATCCAGGTTTGGGATAAGAGCTCATAAGGCAGCTGTCCTGGTTTCCTGTGCTGAGTCATTCCCTCATACTGCAGAGGACATCTTTCCCAGGTAGACATTTACCATCCAGGCAGCTTTTTCCTGATGTGGGGGGAGAGGGGGCAAGCAATTGCCCTACCCTGTTGGAAAACCTCTCCCCCAACCCTGGAGTCAATAGCCTGAAACTAATCAAGACTGAATAATGATCAAAAGAACAAAAATGGAGGCAGAGTACATGGATGCTACATGTACATGCTCGCAGAAACAAACTGGAATTTCAACTAAAATATAGGAAAACTTCCTAAATCATCAAGGGAAGACTCACAGAGGAGAATCATGACCTCTGAGGACTGAAAGTAGAGACCATATAGAGACTGGTAGGAGGGGTGTAGGCTTGAAAGGGCTGGCCAAGCACCCACAGACAGCAACTGAAGTCCAGAAAGATATGTCAGCTATGGGGAGTTGTCAATGAAAACTTGGGGATCTAAACCCCAAGCTGGTCTCCTCAGCAGAGAGCACTACAACTGAGAGGGTACTCACATAACATCTGGCTGTGAAAAGCAGCAGGGTTGCTGTATGCCAGGGGATGACTACTGAAAATTCAGACACCCTCTTAAATGGCCAATGCACAGAATTCCCTGTGGGGCCAACAACCCTGTGGTCTGGCAGAGGGAGGGCAGAGTGGGCTGAAACTGTTTGATCTGAAGCCATGATTGATGGATGGGGGTTATAGTTCACAAGTCAGACATCCCCAGTTTTCTGTGCTGAGTCATTCCCTCACACAGCAGAGGAAATCTTTCTGACACATACATTTGCCTTGCCTGGGGGAAGACAGTTGAGCCACTCTATTGGAAAATACCTTGCCCTGAGGCCATTTACGAGATTAAAAATAGCCATTAGCCTCCAGGCAAAAGCCTCTGCTTCACCCTGTTGCAAAACATTCTCACCACACATTAGGACAATTTCCTGGGTCCATTCAAGTTGGAATCCTATCATCTGTAGGCAGAGGTGGTCCCTGGAGGCTTTGAGACTTTGCCTGATCTATTGTTTGACAATGTCCTACACTAGAGATTGAGGGGCATAGAGGATCTACCTAATTCATAGTCACAAATGCAGACAGCCAAATGAGGAGACATAGAAACAACCCCCAAATGAAAGAACAAGAGAAGTTTCTAGAAGAGGAGATAAATGAAGCAGAGATAAGAAATTTATCTGAGGTAGTGGCTCCTTGTGCCACTTGTATTTTAGGTGGTTAAGCATTGTGAGCACAAACAGCTGTGCAGGGCTCACACACAGCACTAATGCCTGCCTATGGAACATCTTCATTCTGAGCAGTGACAAGGGCAAGCAACAGCTGGACACTGGGACCTCGGCAGAAGCAAAGTGTGTGCTGTGTGGCCAGGAGCAACTGGGGAGACATGCCTGGGGACAGTGCTCCCAGCTGTCTGAGGCTCATCATAGGCACACTTGGGTTCCATGGCATGGTGGAGGCAGCCCAGCCATCCCCTGAGAATGGGATGCAGTGGGCTGGCTTTGGGCATGAGGACTGGGGCTGTGACTACTAGGTAGACATGAGCAGCTGGTCCTCAGAACCCAAGACTGGCTCTCCCATGGAAGTAGCTCCCAGAAAGACCTGTGAAGCCTTTTTGAAGTGCTACACAGTTTATGAGGCTTGGCAAGCAAAGATTCCTACAGATCAGGAGACCCTGGCCACTTCTTTGGTCTGAGGCTGCCAAGCAGACTCAAAATTTAAAATAAATTAATAAATTATAATTTTAAAAAGAGAGAGAGACAAAATAGTGGCAAAATAGACTAATGTGTCCTGAGCCTTGACCTGGAGCAGATAGTGCTATGCCCAGACTTCGTGATCCCCAAGGACCACCAGGGAGCCGAGTCTGATGCAATAAACAAAAGAGCCTCTTCCATGCTAGCATGGGCTCTGTCCCACTCATGCCAGCAGCATGGCAGAAGAGAGAGCAAACTTTGCCAAGCCCTGGGGTTTTACTCCGGTCGGTGATGATGTTACTGCTTCGGCTGACCCTGATTGGTTGGGTGAGGGCTAGGGTTTAGTTACAAATGGAGGATAACTCCGCCTTGCCCCACAGAGGAGTCAGGAGTTTGTCCTCACCCCGCCCTGCCCTCTCATTCCCTCCTTGTCTAATGTGCCTGAGTCAAATCATTGACCTAGCCTACTTCCTTTCAGCATAAACAACAAATACAGTTACTAAGACCCTTAGTACCACAGTTCCCATCATTATTGTCCTCACTGAAGTCAAGTTCCCCTCCTGCAGGCATCAGTTCTCCTCCTGGCCTGTGTAGAGCCCAGGCTGGGGATCTCACAAGTGAGGCCACTAATTGCCAGGATCTAGGCCATGCAGGATCTGGGAGTCATGTAGTCAGGTCTGGGTGCCATCTACTTCAACAGCAGTGGGCATGCTCAGTATAACAGTGTAGCGTCCCTTTGAGTCCTTGGGCAGTGAATTTCTTTACTAGGCTAGGTCAATGATTTGACTCAGGCACATTAGACAAGGAGGGAATGAGAGGGCAGGGCGGGGTGAGGACAAACTCCTGACTCCTCTGTGGGGCAAGGCAGAGTTATCCTCCACATTGAGTTCCTGGGCTACAGGGTCTGCGGTGGGCACTGGCAGTGCATTTGGAACAAGCAAACTGAAGAGCCTGTAAGGACTTGAGCAAGGGAATGGTTACCATACATGACCCCCCACCCAAAAAAAAAAAAAGGGAACTTGTCCCAGTAAGGGGCACACCTGACCCATAAGAGGGCGAAGGACAGGGCGTTGGTCCAATTTTTACCGATTCTAGGACACATTTAGTTAAACCCCTTTTCCAGAGTCTCATTTTTGCCTGTCCTAAGGATAGAGCTATACTTTGAGATACCTTGGCTGTAAAGGTGGGGCTGTTATCTGATACTGGCAGCCCAAATCTATGTATAATCTCCTGGAGTAATCTCTTGACTACTATAGAGGCAGTTTCTGTTTTAGTGGGGTATACTTCAACCTAATCTGAAGTGTCTACAAAAATTAGACCCTAATGCTGGTGGTTTAATCTCTGAAATCCACCTACCAATGCTCTCCTTGGGAAGTTCCCTGGGACCAGAATTCCCAGAGGGACCCCCTTACCTTGCTTAGCATTTACCTGTGCTCAGACAGTACTTCTAGCAACTCTGCCTCACAGAAGCTCAGAAGTCTTGGTGACACTTAAGTGGGTAACCTGGTGTCACTGGGTAACTCTGACCTAGAGCCTCCGGGACCAACAGTCTTGTCATCTGGAGGGTCCACCAATCATCTGGTCCTTCAGTGGCTTGCTTCTGTTCAGCCAATTCCTTCCGGCTGCAGTTGGTAACCCTCTTTTTCTCTGTAGATGGCGCAGTGTCTCCATCAAAGGGCCTGGATTAAGGCCAAAAGTTCTGGAACTGTGCCCAAATGGTGTGGTCCAGGGTAACTACCACTGCCCCTGCATATCAGGTCCCATCCTGAGCATAACTGCTCCCATCCGTGAACAGTACCTTGTCATCTGTTACCTCTGTGCAGTCATAAATGGGTTCCTCCATCATCATCTGGAAGCAGGCTGGCAGAGTTGATGGCCAGAGTCTTATGAATCTGTACATAGGGCTGGTCCAGGAGAAAAGCTCGGTCCATCCAGGTTAGCTCCTGGCCCAGAGTCTACTTATCTGCCTCCTTCACCAGCAATGCTGTAGTGGCCACTGCCTAGAAGCACGCTGGCCACCTTGCTGCCACAGGGTCCAGTCTCTTAGACAGATAGGCAACAGGTCTCTTCCAGGGACCTAGAGTCTGAGTGAGAACCCCTTTGGCAATGCCCCTTACCTCACTCACATAGAGGTGGAAGGGTTTCGTGACCTCTGGCAAGACTAGGGCAGGTGCTGAGACGAAAGCCTTCTTTAGCTCCTCAAAGACCCAATGTCCAGTTCAGCAGCTGCGTTCCCTCAGTACATGTTCCTTCTGAGGTCCACAGTCCTTCTTCGAAGTCCAAGAAGGCTCTCTGCTTTCTAGAATAAACATACTAATTCCTTCCTATTAGTTTCTGGCCTTTTATAATTTCAAATTAACTTCTAAACTTTCTTTCTATATCTTTCAAAAATACATAACCATGCCTCAAATTTTAAAGAAAAGGTAAGGGAGGAGGGAGCA